GAGGCGGGTTGCGGACTTTCCCTGATTTCATGTTCAAACTGGTCAAACCTCCACATTACAGCATTGTTTTTCGTACTCTCTCATCGATTTCAACATTATAAAGTCCGTAACCCGCCTCCACACGAATCTGGGAGCAGATCATGCTTCTTTATGAGTTTGTAGTGTAGACCTCAAAAATGGTGTTATTTATCTGATTCTTGTTTTGAATTAACTCTTAAAGATGGATTGTTAAGCAAATAGCGTGAAGCTAGGGAGCACTGCTGAGCAAGAGTTAATTTGTGTATTACCTTGTTTCAGTTTTACTAATTACAATGAATAAACAGAAACGAGTAGGGCTTTGTAAAACTTTTCTATTATGCTACTTGCTAAAGCATATCCTGACACTTTTATAGGCTACAAAAACTTAATTCCCGCGTACAGTGTCTAATCTGATTTTATTCTTCGCCGCACAGTTATATGGAACTCCTTTCTGCTCTGTTCCTTCCTTCTTTTCTTCTTCCTTCCTACATTTTTCGCCACACAGTGATATGGAGTTCCTTCCTGCTCTATTTTTATTTGCATTTTTCCCTATAGTGTTGCATGATGGAAGACAAATTTGTTACTATGAGAAATCGTTCGTTTTCGAGCTTGCGAATCTATGCATCTATATAAATACTGCTTCCTTCTGAATCATTGCAAAGTCGTCGACATTCTTGTAATCATCTGTTTCAAGTTCGCGGCTTTCAAATTCGAGGCTTTCACTGTAAGGAAAGTGCCGGAAATTATTCACGCAGCTTTTTGCTGCAACGTTTGGGGAGGAATTTGAAGATTGAATCAAATAAATTTAATATGTGCTGTTTGACATTAGAATTGGCCTACGTATCTCATTTCTGTGAAGTTGTTAGTCTTAATAGATGCTGTACTAACAAAGCATTTTAGAGACGCTCCATGCCGATGAAAACTAGGCTCAGGGCAAAGAGAATCAGTTTGAGACGTTCATTCCGGAGTCGCCCTTCTGATCAGACGGCCATGATTTGCGTTGATCATCATCCGGAAGTCAAGGTGAACCGAATTTCCCTCTTTCGTCAAGTCTCATTCCGCTTTAGAAATGTACTTGTTTTGCTTCCTTTTTGATTTTACTAGTCAGACTTTGAGGTATTTTTGCTAGCATATCCAATTCTTGATTTTCAAGCTCTTCTACGAAGACGAATGGGATGACGATTTTCCGTTCCGATCCCCAAAAGCAAGAAAGGAACGACGACCTAAGCATAAGCCGGATCTTGAGGAGGTCCGAGAATGCTTTGCATTATGATTATCACTTTGAGTCACTTATGATAGGAACTTATTCTAGGATATCATAGAGGAAGAAGAAAATGACAATGATGATGATGAAAACAATGAGAATGTCGATCCACAAGTAGATAGTGATCTTCCGGCCATGGAAGAGCTGAAGGAGAAGGTATGTTTAGACGACCTTTTTGAAATTGAAAAA